CAAACTTGCTGAGGGTGCACTCTGTCCCTTCCTCCAGGTCATTGATGAATAAGTTAAACAAGACTGGACCCAGGACTGACCCCTGGGGGACACCGCTAGCTACAGGCCTCCAACTAGACTCTGCGCCACTGACCACAATCCTCTGAGCTCTGCCATGCAGCCAGGTCTCAATCCACCTCACCGTCCACTCATCCAGCCCACACTTCCTGAGCTTGCTTATGAGGCTGCTATGGGAGAGAGTGTCAAAAGCCTTGCTGAAGTCCAGAAAGACAACATCCACTGCTCTGCCCTCATCTACCCAGCCAGTTGTCCCATCATAGAAGGCTATCAGGTTGGTCAAGCATGATTTCCCTTTGGTGAATCCATGCTGACTGCTCCTGATCACCTTCTTGTCCTCCACATGCTTAGTGAGGACCTCCAGGATGAGCTGTTCCATCACTTTTCCAGGGATGGAAGTGAGGCTGAAAATGGAGGTGAGGCTGATGGAGGTGAGGCTAGAAAATACATGAAAATATATGTAGGAAAAACAAACAAACACAGCTGCGAGCTGAATCTCATCACGCGTGTGGTGTTTTTACCCCCAGGCTGGGCTGAGCACAGGAAAGGCTGTTTGGGAGGTGCTGAGGCCAGGAGCGATGCGACACCCGAGGCCCGAAACTGTCCCCGAAGGGCCGAGCAGCTGAGCAAAATACTGTAAAACTAGCACTGCACGGTTTCCTTAGGGCCTGGGAAGTGCCGGTGACTTTTTCCGTTGCATCAAACACCCGGTTTGTGCTAAAAATGTTATTTTTCACCCTGCTAGTCTTGACCTGCTAGGTCCCTGAGCTGGTCACGTCGTACCGATCTGTTTTACCCGATTGCTGCAGCCACCGGGAATTTGGGAAGGCAGGAACGCGCCTTCTTGTACACTTAAATTCGACTAGCATCTGTGCATTAATTACCTAATATTAGTAGAATCGTTAAAAATATAAAACACTTTATATGTGAAAACACTACGGTGTTACTTCATCTTTAATTTTATGGACGCTATCGGTTGATTTCTATTTTTTTCCCCCCCGTACTTATTTTTCAGTATCCGTTCATTCAAATTTTTGTGCCAACGGGAAATCAGCTCAGATCCTGATTGTTGTTTATCCGAAATGTAATGACTGCGGAAGTCGAGATTCAGAACAGAAAGCCAAATAAAACAATTATATTTTATATTGGATTGAGCAGGGCCTCTGGGTACTTCTGCAGTCAAGTAACAAAAATAATAATAACTGGAGCTCAGGGATACTGTAGAGTCTTGATGCATAAATACACATTTTTTTCCCCCCACTTGCATCTTTCAGTCTGATTGGCAGAGGGGGTTTGATTTGCATAATCACTCTGATTTTATTTCTCAGTAACCACACAAGATGCAAACCCCTTAACTCCGGGCGGTTGGTAGCGTTCGTTACTCGATCAGGGTGCAACGATTTGCATAATCACTGCGCTCTGATGGTTACTAGACTCATTCTGTGGCACTAGAAAGGATAACTTTGCGCTGAGCGTCTGGGACCTGAGAGACCCCCGTGGCAGTTCGTTCGCCCCGCCACAGCCTTTCGATACGATCTGGACACATCAGTCGCCTCCGCCCGCGCTTCAGCTCTGATGCGTTCGCCAGCGAGCGGGAAGCGATCCGGCACCGCGGCCGGGCGCCGGACGCTTGGAGAAACGCGAGTTACTCGTCAGCCGCAAGGAGACCCTCACCTCTGCTGCCTCTTGTCTTCGGCTTTACTTCCCGTACAGACGTCTCTGCAGCGTAGTGTCCATGATGGAGTTTCGTGCAGGTAAATAATCACTGCTATTAAATTACACGTTAACTGATGGAACTGAAAATGGCAAAACACCCGATCATCGGAGCCCTAGCATATTTTATGAAATAGCAGTAATTTTATGACAATTACTGATACTAAATAAGGAAGATAGAACAGAGAACAAAAACCAAAACCTATTTATCAAGCACATTTATCATTTGATTAAACATGTTTCTCATTTAAGACCCCAGGATGAATATATTCTCCATTCAGGGAAGCAAGCAACACATCTATTTCACTTCCAGTGAAATCTATATTATCTAAACAGGTGCTGAAGTGTTTTGTTACGCCAAAGCTCAAAATATTTCCAAATTTTGGCTCTGGTTCTGCAAACACTTATGCGTATGCTTTACTTCTTACATGTCAACAGCAATGGGGAATACTTGAGCCTATCGACATGACTGAAGACACACTTGCAGGCCCAGGGCTTCCAACATAACTCACTTATCTCTCATCTGGGCTTTAAAAACTGGCACAACTGCAAACCTCGTAAAAAGCTATCAGTTTTAACATTTTAAAACGGAGCCCTTTCTAGTTGCCCAAACACCGCTGAAGTTCACCAAAAACATTTTTTAAACATGCAAACTCTCTTAGTCCTGTCCGTTGCTCTCAACGCAACGCACTGCACACTATCATTCCTGCCACTCCTTTGTTCTTTGGGAAGGGTATAGCTCCATCCCCTTCAAAACACAGACTACCAGCTTTTCTAGGCTTTAGCGCCGTGAAAGAATTTAACGTAGTTTCGTATACAAAAAGACTGCCTGGAGATTGAAGAAAAAAGGAGAAATAAATACACAGTTCTGAACTTGCATATACCTTTATTGGTGCCGTTTCCTAAGTTTATCGCGCTCGGCTCTGTAAGCATAACAATCTTTCAACGTCATTTGTTGCGTAGCGCATACACACGCACACACTGCTCTTCATCACTGTTATCAATAGCACAGTATCACATTATATTACATTATTTTACATTATTTTACATTATATTCTGTTACTATTTATTCCCATCGCGATCCCTGTCTTCTTTTGCGTTACGTTCATGCTGGAACACACCAGTGGAGACCCCAGGCCCCGTCACGCTAGGTGCCCTATAGATGTTTTTCAGAGATGATGGGCCTAGAGATTTCCCCGTCTGCGTGTCAGCTGTGACACAACGGATACATAAAACAGGCCAACGTGGGGAGCAGGGCCAAAGCAAAACTAAGAGACTTTGTCAGAGACTTGGAAGTCTCTGCTTAGACTTGCCTTGCCTGTGACAGACAGTCCAGATTTGCAGGCGCTGGGGCAGCAGCTGGTTTTAAGGGGGGCTTTACAGGAGGATGAGGAAAGAGCTCTATGAATTTTTGTCTCCGTGCGGAGAGCGGCATAGAAGAAAGAGCAGGAGTACTAATGAAGGCAGCAAAGGCAAAGGCTGCTCGAGGTCGCTGTTTCAGGCTGTGGAAAGGCAGGAACAACTCACAGCATATGTGGTGACCAAAACGACAAAGACCGTTTCCTCCAGGCACAGGGCTTGTGTTTGCTGCCACGGACGCGCACTCACAACTTCGCATCAAACCACAGCAAATGCTAGCAGCGGCAGTACTTGGAATAGGTTTGGAGGCAGGAGAAGGAATATGGCTAACGTCAGGGAAGAAAGGATCCTCCCAATGAGGGCTGAAATGTCCTCTCGGCTTCTTTAGGAAACATTCAGGTCTAGTTTGCCCCTCTGTTAATAGAAGAGGTACTCAAACTGCGCCTTTGGGCCAAACGTAGGGGTGTAATGGTGACTGAAGTCAGCCTGCCTTCACAGCACAGGACACAGATCTTCGCTGGGCTCGATGAAAGGCCTCGTGCCTTCGTGCCTAAGTCTCCCTCGCTGTCTTCGATCAGCCTCACCACTGTGTGCAAGTGGGACCGAGCCTTCTGCCACGGTCAGGCCGTCTGACAACAGCCTCCTCAGGGAAAGGCTGGCCCCCTTGCTGACCACGAGGCCGGGACACGGAGCAAATTCATAGGCTGTAACCCACCAGTTC